TATCTCTAATTTATTCAGAATGTTTGGCACACAGGTTGAGCAAGTCTGTCTAGTGCTTAAAAGCATGTGTTTTAGTTTTGGCAACCTTATGGCAAGCCCTCACTCTGCTTATCTAGATGGTCTTTGCTATTCTTCCAGGTCTGAGCTTCAGTTTGGTCATTTAAGAAATGGGTACATACTTACGTTAAAGGGTTGTGGTGAAAAATGAGGTGATTCATGTAGTCTCCTTGGCATGCTTATTATTTGTTCTTAGTTGTTTTTTATTTCTATTTCTAACATTCTGTGATTTGTTTTTATGCTCTTTATTGGAATAAAGAGACAAATCTCTCCAGTGTTTGGAAATGTGAAAAACATTTTTTCCTCTGGCAGTGGGGTAATGCTCTAAAAAATGCTTTTCAATCTTTAATATACACCCAAATCACCTGAGGATCTTGTTAAACTGCAGATTTTGATTTAGTAGCTCTTGAGAGGGGCTCAAGATTCTACATTTCAAAGCAGCTCTCAGGTGGTACTGACTCCTCCGTGGGGAGCCAGGCTTTGAGTAGCAAGGCTTTGGAGCAGTGGCTCTTGAACTAGGTTGCACATTGGAATCTCTTGGGGGATCTTTTAAACTGGACCAGCCATGTCTTAAATAAATAATTCCCAGTCGCTGAGGGGTGGGAGGCAAGTTTCACCGCTGAAGGTCCCCAGCGATTCCAATACACATACACATTTGAGCACCACTGCTGTCGCGCTGTGTGGTGGAGTTTAAAAAATAATGATGCCTACATCTCAGCTGGAAAAGCTCTGATTTGGTTCAAGGTAAGGCCTGAGCGTGGATATTTTTAAAAGCTCTCCAGCAGCAGTTTGGGAACCACTCTGTAATGTCTAAAGCGCTGTTCAGTAAAGCACAGGGAAAAGTAAAATTGACTCGTGTTCCAGGAGATTGAGGTAATTAATTTCCCTTCAGTTGGCTCCTTTTTACCTAGGAGATTCACACTGAAATATGGTGAAAATAGGAACTTTTTTTTTTTTGGAAAAAAAATCTTTATGTTAAAGGTAAAAGCCTGTTTAACATCTCTATGGGGGAAGCTGTGTTATCCGGTAGCTCAGAAATAGGCCCGAGAGGAAGAGCATTGAACTCCTAATCCCCTCTACCTCTGCCTCAGCATGACCTTGGAAAATCTTTTCATGTTTATATTTTCATATTTTCTCATTTGCAAAACTTGGCTAATCCTACAAAGTGACCACAGAATTGGTGCATGGTCAGCTGCAGCTTCAAAAACACTCCTGCCGCAGATCTCCCAGGCTGTTCCGATTTGCTGACCAAATTTTGACAGTTATGCAAGATGCACACTTTGTGAGTCTTCAAAATTGTTCACACGTTAAACCTTGGTCTTCTATCTCTCTCCTTCTTTCAATGGAACCAATTGCTTCCTGTTCTGTTTACACAAAGTTTAGGCTTACTGCATCCTGGAGATGAGAGAGATCGGCAAGAGGGAGGAAATTATTTTTTAAAAATCATAGCAAGAAGCCTAGTAGGATCAGTTTGCCTTGTGGTCCTCCAGGGGAGAAGTCTATCTACACTTGAGACTGGAGTCATGGGACAGAGGAGGTTTGGTTGCTGGGTTTGGTTGGCAGCTGGGTATCAGGGCCATCCTGCCTCAGGAGTAGGAGCTAGAAGTGTCCTGGAGCAGTAGTTTCTGTACCTGTGTGCCACGCTCACCTGGGCAGCTTGTACAGCCCACAGAGGCTGAGGCGGTTGGCATAGGATGGGGACTGGCCCTTATGTTTTTACCAAATTCTCCTGGTGAGTCTGACATTAACCAAAAGTTGAGAACCACGGTTAAGCAACAGCTTTCTCTTGATATTTTTTGTTAATGTCTTCCCAAACACATTCCTAAAGCACCCAAAGGTACACTTCTTTCTGGTGTGGAAACTAGTAATTTGTGGATTCATCCCATCAGTGGGCATATTCTTATAAAACCAGAGGTGTAAAATAGATTCAGAGACCTCACTCTCTCGCCTTGGCCTCACTCTCCCTAGGAGGAGAGAACAGATGGGAGGCGGCCTTTGGTGCTGTAGACCTGGCTTAAGCTGCAAGTCAGGGCCGAGGACAGACACAGTGCGGGACTGAGCCCTTATCCTTCTGATCCTCAGGAGCTTGGAAATACTGTCAGGTCCCCACCTCTAAGAACAGCACTGCCACCCTCTCACCTTGGTCCGGGAGCCTCTTGGAACTCTGATAATGATGGGTGGAGCTAAGGAGCTTTGGAGGTGGGGGCAGGAGGGTGCTGAAGGCTGTCAGCACACACCTCAGGGGGTTCCTTATACCTTAGCTTTTGAAAGGGGCTCATACATCTTTGTTTCACTAATACTTCACACATGGTTCAGAATATAATAAGTGGATGTGTCAGATATGCTTGTCAAAGGAATGAAATGGACAAAGCAACTGAAATATGTAAGATCAAGTAGCACAGAAGTGCCAAAGGATACCAGAAAACAGACAAGAAGTGACACTGAAGGAGAAAAATGTGTGAAAGCAAGGTGTTGATACTAAGGAGGATGAAGTAAAGGGCTGAAGAAGCCCCTGAGGGAGGCACAAGAGAAGCTGGGAGTCTGTCTTGAATGAGGTGTGCAGTGGGGAAAGATGTAAGGGCCCTGGAAAGCCAGGGCAAAGGTAAAAAATGACGTGAAAGAAAGAAAGAGGGGCAGAGGGATGGTAGAGACAGAGGAAAGGAGTACAGAGCCAAGAGGACAGGATGGGGCAGGGAGGGAGAGCTGTCATGAAAGATAGGCCTCCCATGGGCAGTCGGGTTGGTCTTACTCCTGACTGAGCACAGCAACTGTGTGTTTCTTGAGGAGTCATTGTGTTAGTCAGCATTCTGTCACTGAGAAAATAAGGTTAAAAGGATGAAGGATTTGTTTTGGCTTACGACTTTAGAGATTTCAGTCCCTGGTAGCTTCGTCCTTTTGTGCTTAGCCCTGCGGTGAGGCAGCATATCATGGATGAAACTATATGAACTTCACAGTCACATCTCCAATGATTTCACTTCCCTCCATGAGATACCTCTTCCTGCAGATTCTTCCACTTCCCACCAATGCAATGGCTGGTAACTAAGCCTTGAGCGCATGATCCTTGGGGAACACTTAAGATTCAAAGCATAAGAATAACTTAGGCCCCGGGGAAAGCAGGACGTGAGAGAAAAACAACACCTGTACAAGCAAAGTGGGTCACTGTCAGGAATCATCACGTGTATGGAACTGGATGTTTCAAATTGCACAGGCCTCCTTATTCTCAATTACCCTCTACAACACAGGCAAGTCCCTGCTACACCACAAGTCCACCTCAGGGAAGCCCCGGACACCCTCTTCTATACCACAGATGCCTCCTTGGCAGCCTTCCCTGCCCTCTCTTTCCCGCCTGCCACATCCTGCCCTTGCCCGCAGAGGCACAACTGGATTTGCAGGCATTTCCTCTCCTGACTTCTAGTGTGACACAAGGCCTCCTGGCCACCTTCCTGTCCCCACCTTCCTGTCCTCACTCTTCTAGGGCCACTTGCTGACTTATTCACAGCCTTTGTACAAATTAGAAAACTGGTTGGGCCCCTGCGGATCCTTCCAGATGAGTTAGGGAAGGTGCAGGTGAGAGGGAAGGAGACAGTCAGAGACTTCATCATGAATAGCTGTGTGTGTAGGGGCAGGGAGGTGGAGGGGTGAGGGGATGGGAATGAGTGGGGAGCAGGCTGTGTGATATCCCGGGGTAGAGAGTGGGGGTGCAGGGAAGCTTTCTGGGAAAGTTTTTCATGAAAAGTGATATCTGAACTGAGATTTTAAACACGAACAAATGTTTCCCTGCTTCTAGGTGCGTTTTCTGAGGGAAGGAGGGAGAGGTCTTGGAGGGGTTTGGGAGCGTGTGCAAAGCCGCAGAGATAGCAAGAGTGAGATTCTCAGAACTGCGGAGGGGGAGTGATGGTGGTATGAGGTGGATCAGCTAGGAAGGGCCAGGTGTCTGGTTTTAAGGCAAAGGCAAGGCAGTGAGAGTTGCATGTGGTGGTCACTTTGGACATGTATTATCCTCGGTTTTTATATATGAGTGAATTGGGTCTCAAAGATAGCTAACGGACTCTCGCACAGTTAATGGTAGAACTAGAAACTTGATTTCACTTTGTTGTGCTAAACTTGGACCTTTCCACCTCACCTTAGGTCTGGATGACCTCTGTGAGATTCTCCTTTCAGAACTTACCAGCTGTTCTCACTGAAAGGATTTTGCCCTGAATGGGAAGCTGCAGCGGTGGGAGGCTAGGAGGCGGAACCAAGGGGCTCTATCTTGAGGTCACCTTTCCCGCCCCTAGACAATTTACCTGTGGCCCGAAATGAATTCCAGTGGTCTACCTGTGCATCAGTAATGCCCCTTAGGCTCCACCCCAAACCTAAGCTACATGTATGCCCCCACACCCTGTGTCTGGCAGAGAGAAAGCCAGGACCCGGAGGTCATGGAGTCTCTCTCCACATTCTTAAAATAAAGGCCACTTTTATTTCATATTTCTATCTTTTTAGCCACGCCGAAAATTCTATCAATCACCACCGCCTAAAGCCACCAATGACTCAGCTTTGGATCAGCACTGATACTGCCCTTGGTTCCTTATAGAGGTGGCTTAAATATGTTTCCTTTACTTTTTAACAGACAGACTTTATTTATTCCAGGTTGATCTTTACAAAACTAAACCAAAATATCCCACTGGGCATTTGCTGGCGTCAGTTTCCAGAAAACATTTATACTGGATGTCAGCTCGACTGGGGGAAGAGGATGTAAAAGGTCTCCCAGGCCTTTGTGGGAAACAGCAATTACAGTCAGTTCTTAGTCACCCAGTGGGGCGGTATTGATGAGTAAGCTCAGCAATGGCCACTGGTTTTGGTCTGTTCCTTCCACATAAGTCTAAATGAGGTCTGCTTATGGCAACAAGATGAAATTGTGTCAGTGTGTTTGTTTTTTCCTTTGTCTTATATCCTGTGCATAGGTGAGGCTTCTAACTACAGAAATGGCCTCTGGGAGAAGAGGGATGGAAAAAAGCTTTACAAATCCAAACTATGGAGATTATCTTTTATAGCACTGGTTGGCTGAGCCATCTGCATATACTCACCTTGATGCCTGAGCCTAGGAGATGCCTTTGCTTGGATCCAGCAAGAGCAAACATGAGTCCACAAGAAAAGGCATCTTGAGTCTAAGACAAGAAGCTGAGTGAGGAGACCAGAGCCTCTCAGTCCTCTCAAATTTTATAAGAGAGAAACTTTAGGACAAGAAGGGATGTTTGTGCCTCCTTTAGACTGGCTTCATCTTGATGGCATGCGAGCCTTGGACGGAGAACTGGTTTCAAGTCAACAAACTTGATAAAAGTCTGGCCAAAATTGGCTCATAAATGAGACACCCAAGATCTACCATCAGAGAAGCCAACAAATTACTGTTATCACTGCTGATAAGGCAGAGTCTCCTAGAAGTTTCTCTCAGTGAAGATAAGGTAAGCAATAACAATTCTTCCCAAAATGTTTCCTCACACACTCAAAATCTATCTTTTATCAATATTTTTTAAGAGTTGGTTTAATATCCCCTTTGTCTTCTAGAATACTCCTGTTAAAATCCGATTCCTGTGGTATTAGGAATTGGTTTATATACAGTGTTGCAAGTGTTGAAGCTTCACTTGCAAAGACGGGTGAAGCGTGCCCCCACCGCTATCCAAGGCCCAGCCCTCATCGCTGGTCCAGCGCCTCCTGCTGGCGACAGCCTGCTCTGTATGTAATTTCACAGCTCAAGTCAACCAAGTCTGTGGATAATTATTTTGAAGAACACTTTTACATTTTTGTATCTGATCCTGGGCCACATATAAAAATTATTATTAATTTCTTGGATTAAGAAAAATAATCCGTTTTAATTTATTCTAATAACAAGGCAAATACACCAGTTTTTATGTTAATATCTGTTTGCTCAAGAGTCTTAAATGTCAACTGGTGTAGATCATTTGGGTAGGCTGGGAAAGGGAGGCTTGAGGCAAAGTTTTTTGAAAGCCCCATGTGGTGTTTTGCTCTGCTTGCTCTCACTATGTTCTAGCAGGTGACACCATTCTCTTTTTTACTCCCCTCACTGAGTCGTGATCATTTTGTTAGGCTTCTGCTGAACAGTTTGATGATGATGGCAAAGACACACTGAGTGGTAAGGACCTTTGCACTTTATTTGGTTTCTTCTTGACAACTGTGTAAGGTAGACAATATAATTTTATAGTCACAAACCGGCTCAGAGAGGTTAAGTAAATTTCTGTGTCACTTGACTCATAAGTGGTAGAAACCAGGACTTGAACTTTTGTCTGTCTGACCTTAAGATCCTGAAGGTAAGAGCTGTCCTCATAAAAATTTACAGCCTCTTGACTTTCATTGTCTTTAAGATGGGAATGTGGAGGAAAAGTAGCTGGGTAGAAAGAGAAAGGCTGGGGGCAGAGGCTGTGTATGAAAATGTAAATACTATACAGAGTGCAATGGTCTCAAGGAAATCTTTTAGCAAGTTTGATGGATCTGGTTAGTGGAGGTCAATTCTATTTAAAGTGCATTATCATAACTAACTGCTCATCACCTCCTGAAGAAAGAAAAGACTGATGATAACCAGCATTATGACGTAAACCAGAGTTTCTGGCCAAAACCGTGGCTTGAACCCGAGAACTGTCTCTGCTGCTTCTTTCCTCACCAGTCTCCATTTCTCGGCTGTCGAGCTGTGGGGAAGAATGCTTGCTATTTGTCAGATTTATACTTTTTTCGGAATGGACAACATAGTCTACTAAAGCTTCCTTTTGTGGTATATTCTGATTGGAAATTTAATCAGATTATGAACATTTGTTTTTCTTCTCTTTGTGTATATGATCTAAAGAATCATAAAAATGGAATCAACAATATTCTAAAATGTGAGACTGACAAATAAGGACACCATTCTCCTGATTGTCCCAATCTAGACTAACTTCCTCCTTCAAGATGACTTTAATGTGCCTTCACGGCACTGCTGGGGAGGTTTGGGAAGCCATGGCAGGTCTACTTTACTGCACAGGAAGATGAGTTTGGGAGACCTGGTGCCCCTGCCTCATTCCAGCATCCGCACACTTCCACCCCTAGACTGTGGCCTCTCAGAAAGCAGCTAAAATCCTGGCCAGGCTCCACGTGCTGGGTGATCCCACCACTTCCAGTTTTCTACTGAGTATCTCAAATAAGTGTAACAATTTGGATCTATCCCTACAGCTGTGAGAGTTAAATGAGACAGTGCATGTCAAGTGTTAAATATTGTATGTGGTTTGCAGTAAACAGCCAAGTGTTGACTATTTTGAAAACACTTTCTATTGCCTATCGGCTTCAAGAAGGCTAGGACAGTGTTCTTTCTGATGAACCCCACGGACCTAGTGCAGTGATAGGTACACAGCAGAAGCTTGATAAATACCTGTTAAACAAATAGCCTTCCATATCCACAGGTTATGCACCCATGAATTCAATGAACCATGGATTGAAAATACTTGAAAAAATTGTCTGTTGTGCACAAGTACAGAATTTCTGTTTCTTAAACAATACAATGTCATAACTCTTTACATAGCTCTTCCATTAGGTGTTATAAGTAACATAGAGATGATTTAAAGTATATAGGAGTGGGGCTGGGAGTACAGCTCATTGGTAGGGTATTTGCCTGGTATGTGCAAGGCTCTGGTTCAATCTCCAGCACTGCAAAAATAAATAAATCTTCAGAAGGACACGTGGAGGTTATATGTAAATACTATGCAATTTTCTATAAGGCACTTTAACATCTGCATTTTTTTTTGTGTCCTTGGGAGCTATTCTGGAACTAATATTCTATACGGAAAGTAACTGAGTATAAAACCTGACCCAGGTTAACCACATCCTCTGCCTGGGGTACTGCCATGGTCTGCTCTCTCTGCTTGCCTTCTTATATCTGAAAACACTTTCCACACACTGCCAGAGTGACAGTTCTAAAATATAAGTATTATACTCATGGCTTCCTTAGCATAAAACCCAACTGAGGAATATGATGAACTTGGCCCCTGCACTCTGATTGCTCGCCTGCCACAGCCTTGTCTCTCCCCTTTCTCAAACACTCTTTCCTCTTTCTTTCTGCTTTCTGCTATGATGTTTTGCTTACCTGCTAGTTTCTTATTCCATTTGTATCCGCGGATTGTTCGAATCTCACCAGAAATCTCACTACCTTATGGAGACCCTCCCCATTCTCTCTTCTAAGTCATCCTGACTGTTCCTCCCACTCTGTCCTCTTCTGTGGTGTCATAGTCTGTTCTTTCTAGTAGAGGGTTACTGCAGTGATCTTTTGGCACAGGCTCCCTTGAGCAAATACGGATAACTTTTCCTAACTCTGTATTCAGTGACCTCACATTGGTGAACTGACATCAGCCATGAGGGAGTATTTACATCATGGGAACTAGCATATGCTTCAAAGCAATTTACTTTTTCTCCAGACAGCTTGTTAAACATTTATGCACATACCATCGGTTTGTCCCACAAGAATAAGGGGTGTCCCAGCCTGTCACAGAGCCTGGCTCAAAATAGGATTCTATAAATATACACAGAAGTAAAAGAATATAAGTTGAAATGTGTGTGAAAATATAAGTTGAAATATAAGTGAAAAGTGTGGTCATGTTGAACTGTGTCAAAGGCATTTGTGATCTCTCCTCTTGATATTCACCTCATGAAATTAGTATTGCTTCCTTTATTTTTGAAATGAGGAAATTAAAAAATCCATTAGTACATATTTGCAGTACATAATGATTCTATTGTGGGCAGTTTAGCTGTACCTAACACATCCTTATTCTTATTTTTGTTCCCTGCTCTCCCTGATCCTTCCAACTCTTGGTCCCCTTTTCATTTGTAAAAGTTCTATTCCATTTTTTCTTTAATTTTCTTTCTCTTCCTTCCTTCCTTCCTTTCTCTCTCTTTTTTTCTTCTTTTCTTGCTTCTTTCTTGTCTAGCTTAGCCTCAGCAAAATGGCTCACACAGGTCACAGGTCACAGGGCGAGCAGGCTGGAGATCCCCTGAGCTTGCACAGGGAACTCAGCTCCAGTCTGTTGCCTTCTGCTCCTGGCTGTCTGTACCCACACTGTCTCCAGCCTGGCGTGGGTCTTGGCATAAGTCTTGCACCTTATCTGTCTCAAGCTAACTGATCCCCTGTCATCATTTGCTTTGTTGCTGTTCCTACCATGACAATCAGGTGCTGCCTGCTCACTTGCACCTGGATCAAGGTCTCCATCCTGCCCTTTGAGTGAACCCTGTCACTGGGGACCGACTTGTGGCCCACCAGGCAGGACATGACACAGCAGACAAGAGCTGTGACTCAGTAGTAGGATAACCAACACTTCCCATGCTTTTAGGGACTTTTCTATTTTAGTGCTAAAAGGGAATTCTTAGGATTTTCAACAGTCCAGGGCAAACTGGGATAATTGTTCTCTTAGTTTGCTGTGTGACCTGACAGAACTAAGCCTGATGCCATAAGGAGAAAGGAAATTTCAAAGGGGTCTGAGCCCACAGCATCGGCTCCCTTAGGTGACAGTTCATTTCCCCCAGGGTCTCCCTGCCTGCTGACTCTATAACCCTGTGTTGGTGAGTGCTCAGAACTAGGACCAAGCAATTCTGCTTCTCTAAGCCTCTGTTCACACATTTATAAAATGTAGATAATAAGGACTAGCTACATAATTTGTGGATTCAGTTTAGAGTAAAAATGCAGAGATCCTTGTTTGAGAATTATTAAGGATTTCAAGATGGTGGCTGCAGAGCATTAAACCAAGTCACAGATTTAGAGCTGGTAAGCTCTTTGGAGATTTCCTGCAATCCCTGTTCACACATCTATAAGATGGAGATAATGAGGATCAGCTACGTAATTTATGGAGCTCGTTCAAAATAAAAATGTGGGAATTCTTATTTAAAAATTATTAAGGATTTCAAGATGGTGACTACCCAGCATTAAATCAAGTACAGGGTCCTCAGAATGAGTCTGCATGGGTTTTATGCCCAGGAATCTGGCCCTGGAGATGATCTTATCATGCAGAGTTGTGCAGTTTAAATGGTGCAAAGCACTGACAGCACCGAGCATGTGCCTGGCCTGGAGTGAGTGTTTCGGGTCTTTCTGAGATCTGGCCTTGCTTGCCTCTCCCCAAAACAGACATCTGAATTTCTACCCTGACACTCAGGTGTCAGGGTTTTTGTAAGCCACTTTAGCTTCTCTAGGCTCAGTTTCCCCCTCCTATAAAACACAGGGATTGCAGAAAATCTCCGAAGAGCTTACAAGCTCTAAATCTTTTTTGGCCAACTCCGTGACATTTATACATATGAGCAAGGTCTTAATGTTCTTTTAAAAGCAATTTCTCCCTTCTTGGGTTTGCTGAGTTTCTGTTCAGATTTCAAGTTCCATTCATATCAGAGAGTCTCTCCTTCTAACCCTGAATACATAAATCAAGGGTTCTTAGATTATTTCTAAAGTTCTTTTAATTCAAAGGTCAACCCATTTTACACATGAACAGTCTAAGTTTTGAGAAGGTTGAGTGACTCACCTGGGGCCACATAATGAGATAGTGGGATGGCTGTAGGAAATAAAATCAGCCCTCTGCAGTGTTTTATTATTTCTTTCTTGGTTAAGGAAACATCAGGGGGTATCTTCATGATTTTACTTTGCAATTATTTTTCCTTGAATAATTTCTCATAAAAATAAATGGGGGAAGGAGAAAAGCAAAAGTTACTTTTCATTGGGTTCATTGTAAGATATTTTTTAACCAAATGTGATCATCTTTTTTCTTAAATCTTGGATATCTGATCCAGTCTGGGCTTATGATTTTTCACTAGTTTTAGTTTTGAAGTAAAGATAAGTGTTTTCTTTCTTCCCAGTTGAGGAAGGATTTCCAAGCCTTTTCTTCTCTTATTGCTGTACTTGGGTGAATAAGCAGATGTTCCTTTAAAATAGCATTTTCTTAACTTTTTGTTATCTCAAGTGTTTTCTTGGGAATATCTAGTCATTCTCTTAAAAGAAAAGCCTGGAAAGAGGGAAGGAATGTTCTCAGCCTGGGTCTGGCCCACAGGAATTCCCAGGGGTTTCTCCTTGGGGCATCTAGTCATGTGAGTTGTTGGAAATTTTTGAACTTTCCCCAAAAGTGACAGTTAAAGGGGAAAACAGTCTCTGGAAATCCTGTTTCTTCCTAAAATCGTACCCACGTCTCTGTGCTAGTCTTTTTACTGCTAGAGTCTTTTCTGGGCAACAAATTTGGCTCACTTTTTAAGTAATTTAGTTTTTAAATTTAATGTACTTTTAACATGAACTGGTGCAGGGCCAGCCAATTATTGGGAATGATTATATCTTATTTTTTGTGGTTCTGGGAATCAAAGCTTGGAGTGCTGTGTGATATTCTTGGTAAATTGCATAGGTGGGACTTGAAATTTCAATCCTCCTGCTTCAGCTTCCCAACGCGCTAAGATATTACAGGAGTACATTACCGCATCTCTCTCAATGTTATCATTTTTAGGCTTGCTCTTTTCTTAGTTTAGTCCGGCCTTTGCTGCTGCAGTATTGCTAAATGATAGGCACCACCCTCACCTGGAAAAGGCTTCTTTGTGCTACCCACAACACTCATTGACATCTAGGGCACCAAGCCATTTTCTCCATTTTCAAGCGGCTTAGAAAGGAAGCCCAGGGGCTTGGAGTCTAAGGCAGTATGATTTGACAGTCAGTTGGAACCTGCCTGCAAGTGAGGTTTGTAAACTAAGAATGGTTTCTGGTGGGCATTTTCTTTCCTTTCCAGTACAGCTATGTCTCTTCTTTAGAACAAAGTCACGTAAATCTGGGGCTGCTACAAATTTACAGCTGGTCTCAAGCCAGCACAGAGAGTTGAGATCCTTGGAGTGAAATGCGGGGGTGGTGTGGCCTTTACAAAACAAAACCAGAAAATCTTACATATGCTTTTTTTTTTTTTTTTAATCCTAATTTAGAGTCTAAATTTGTGCCAAAGTAGAAATGGATACTTTCTGCTTCCGGCCTAGTCTCCTGAGGAACAGGATGTAACCAACCTTTAGAACTTTGTGCAGCTGTTGAAAAAGATAGAGGGAACCCCTGCTTGAACCACCAAGCAAAGTCTGGTCACGATCCATGTGTGCAACAGTGCAGGGATCGGAACTGGGCATCCAGAAGACACTGTGCCTGGGATCCCACACGTGGTCATTAGACTGTGCAAACCCTGATAAACTCAGGTAGGTAGAATTTTTGTAAACAGAATATTGGAAGGAATACTTAAATTCTAAAAAACTATTCTGGGCCTCACCTCACTCAGAGCTAAGATTATTCTTGAGTCAAACTGAATTGTTTATGTGGGAGGATGTTAGATGTCCTCAGGCCTCTCATTTTGGAGATCAGGAAATAGGAGTCCAGAAAGGTCAAGTGAATTGCTCATGGTTGTAAAAGGGAAGAAGAACTCTGTGTAAACAACAGTATCTAGGGAACATTTTCCCAGCCAGCACAGCCATGATTAAAACTGACATTTTACTCCGCACATCATGGAAATGATAGTCTTTTCCTTAAGCGTCTGTCCACTGTGTAGTAATTGGCTTTGGTCTACTGCTTGCCCAGCATCTCTTGTTTCGTGGGCGGATTTATTTTTCAGCAATAAAGAGAAAGAAGTCTCATGTCATGACAGAAAAGAGTGAAACATCCCTGTCAATCAGAAAGCAACATAATGTAACTTGATATCTAGATTTTGATAATTTTTGCCTACCTAAGCAAAATAAAGACCTTACATGGCCTGTGATGTGAAAGGCATATTATTTTGGCATGAGATCAGAGATAGTCTTCATTAATAAATTAATGTGTCTGCTTTGCCAGCTGGTTATGACCTTCTCTTCTGGCTAAATTGAATAAAGACATTTAAATGTCATACTATTATCATATATTTGCACAGGACTTAAACATTTACATGACCTTTGAAACACATCATATCATGCTTTTGAAACATGTTTTGTGAGGTGTGTGCTACCATTTTTCCAGATGAGGAAATTTAAAGTATAGGAAAGAAAGATTTGTTGCAGAGGATATAACTAAGCAGTAGATGTGGGGCTTGAACATGGGAATTCTTACTCTACTTTAAAATTTTCTTTCTGCCACATGATAATTCAGCTTTTCTAGGTTATGAGAAATTCTTCTCTTGGAGCCAGGTAAAAGCAGACTTTCTTTTCCCATAGGTTGGGTGTTTTTACTCTCAGTAACTATCCCATTAACTTTAAGAACAAAGTGATGATGATAGAGAAGAACGAGAACCAAGGACAGCTGTATTAAAAACAAGTGAAATGCCAGGTCTAATTGCATAAAGTAAAAACACTGGGAAAAGGCCCTGCTCTCCGTTATCACATGTTTTCTTAGAGTGTATGTCTGGTTATGCTGACAACTGTGGGGAGAGGAAATATGTTCCGAATGTTCTTTCAAGTCTATGTAATGCTAGTGCTCTGGATGATTTTGCCTCGATATGTCCTGAACAGCAACCTTAAACATTATGAAAAAAGAAGAGCAAGGGCTGCTAGTCCCTATTTTAGTTTCTCTGAGAACTTTCTTAAGTCAACCTTAAAAAATATTTTGAAAATACATACACTTACTTCCCTACTCAGTGGGGAAAAATTCATATATGAGAGAGAGAAATAGTTTGTCTACTAGAATAATAAACAACTAAGTTCAGATTTTCATGGAAGAACAAAGCCTGCATGACGATGGTCTATTAAATGTTTAAGTTATAAGGAATGGGAACATCCCAGGAAAATAATCAGTTGCCCTCATGTAATGTCAAGAGATAGGGGTTAATCTACTTTTGTCATTTAGTGAACAAGAATCGGTGTGTAGGGGGTGGTGATGTTGGGTGTTTACAATGCATTGCCACAAGGCTCAATCCCATAGTGAGTCAAAAGGAGAAGGAATAAATGTCAGAGCAAAGCCGGAGTGGTTTCCAAGCAGTTGACCCTCAACTACAATGTTCATAGCAGTATCACTGCAAATGTTTTTAGAAGCATGAACATCTGTATGGAAAAAGGTTCTTGAATTTTGCCTGGGTGTCCATCCTGATCATCTCTGAAGCCATGCCACAGAAGAGTCAATGAGTTCCTTTACGTCTTGGATTGAGGGAGGAAGAATGGCCTTTCTTAATTAGAAACTGGCTCCTCAGGTCACAGGATAAGGGGACTCTGTGAGTCAGCTGTTCTGTCATTCTGCCTTTATGTTTGCTAGATGAAAACTTACCCTAATTTGCACAGGTGACAGGGAAGTAGAGTCGTGCACCTTTCCTGGGATGGTGTAGCTGCCTGGAAGGTTATTTTTGAAGCTGCACCCCTCAGGTTGCAGTATTTGGCCACCACCTTATCTTCCTTTGGTACAGCTGATCACTATTTTTAGGAACATCAGTTATTTGAGGACAGACATATTCTACCAGGCTTTGGTTCTTCACACCTCTGACCATTGCTCAGGTCAAGATGGCAGCACCTGCTCACAGTTTCTTTTGCCTTATGTGGCCAAGTCAGAGAATTCTGTCAACTTTCACCACAGAGAACAAGCTCTTGTTTAGATACAAAGCTCCTCTCCTTTCAAATTTTTTTCTTCAAGTCACTCTATGGGCAAGAGCTAACTAATGCCTCTTAGGAGACTTTGATGAAACTATACTATTACACGAGAAGCAGAACATAGATTGAGGGAAGTAAAACAAATGAATGAACCTGGAATTAATTGATCTTCTACTGGGGATAAAGTACCATGCCAAGGACTTTCAGGTAAACAGAATAGTGATCCCCATAAAGTCCTTTGAGCTCCATTTGACTGTTGCCACTTTTATGGTTGAAGCAATGGAGCCTGAGTCCCACAGTTAGTAGGACCAAGTTCTACTGTCTCCTGGTTCCCTATGGACAGCATAGGCTAGTGATGAGCTCTATCTCATGGGTTAATCCTGTTCTTGCTTTTTTTTTTTTTTTTTTTTAAGAATCTCTTTAGCTGGGGGTTTAGCTCAGCAGGTGATTGCCTGCTTGGCAAACTCGAGGTCATGAGTTCAATCCCTGGTACCACACACACACACACACACACACACAAAAGAATCTCTTTCTAGTCATGTAACTATACCTCCAAAACACACCCCAAGCTCAGCCTGTTTGGGAATTGGCAGTCATCAAAGCTACAGCTCTACTGCTTCCTGGCACCTATAGTCCCTAGAAACACAGCCTCCCCCAAACCACTGCCTGTTTGTTCATGAGATTTCTTCAGGCTCCTTTGCCAGAACATTGCAGTTCTATTTTTCCTCAAATCCTCCCAAAATATTCCAAGTATTATTCCCACCTACCAACAGAGACATCCTTGACCTGGGAGCAACAGAGATGTGAATGTTCACAATGCTTTGACTTTTGGAAAACACTCATGTTTTCTTCCTTCTTCTTCAACCATTCTGAGGAGTGTTGGGTCAGCACTGGCACAGCACTGTAATCCTGGCAATGGCTCTGGCTGGAATGCTGGCTTTCAGGTGGCCTTTCCTATATTAGCTACCTTTCGGTTACAGGGATGAAATACATGAGATACACAACTTAAAGGAGAAAAGATTTATTTTGGCTAATAGTTTCAGAGGCTTTGGCCCATGATTGGCTGGCTCCAAAGCAGAAACCTCATGGTGGAAAGCCAAGAAACCTCATGGTAGCCAGGAAGTGAAGAGCAGGGAAAGAGTCAGAGAGGAAGGTGCCAAGCACCCGACATGGTCCCCAAGGTCACGCTCCAAGCTACCAGGACACATCTGCAAGTGTTCTTTACTAACGTAGGCATCTCTCAAACCAATCAAGCTGACACTCGAGATCAACCTCACACTGCTTCACGGGAAGTGCTGAAGCACCAAAAGAGGAGGCAGAGTGAGTGGGCACAGTCCACCTGATTCCCCATGAGAAGAATGACTCTCCAGGCAGTGACCACACAGACCTGGGCAGGAGAGGCTGCTCATCGCATGCATCCCGCCCTCTCTGTGGGAGGCAAATGTAGGCCCACAGCACAGGCAGCACATAAAAGGTCAGCAATCCTCTTCTCCGCTCCCTTTAACCTTGAGCCTACCTCAGCCTTCACGCTGAACTCTGTGCATTATGATCTTTGAAGTTTCTCTCTCCCATCAGATTGTGAGCTCCTTGAGAGTAAGAACTGTATCTTTTCCTTTCTCTCCTTAGCAGGCAGCAGTTTGATAGTCATAGTAAGTGTTCAGCAAATGCGTATTGCACCAATGGAAAGAGAACATTCACACCTCATGAGGATCGCATTCCTTGCTGCTGAGATGGCGAAGTGTTCTCTCAGCATGTGTCTGGCTTCCCTGCTCCTTCCCGCTCACACCCCTCTCCTTCCACAGTGCTGACCCTTTTCCCTCTGAAAGACTGGCCCACAGGAAGAGCGGTAGGGAAACTGGCTGGCAGAACCATCCCAGTGAGCATTCTGGGTAGGTTTGAGTGTGAGGAGAGGATGGTTTGAATTAGAGTTTTTCAGGGTTCGAGGGGGGACTGTGGGAGGGACACAGAGCAGCTGTTTCCACTTAAAATTGATTAGCAAGTATCGCTGCAAATGAACTCAGAATTTAAAACAAAACACCATGGTAACAAATCATTCTAAATTCTTCTAAACCAGCTGAAGGAAAGAAGTTTTTTTCCAGCTGATGCCCAAAAAGATCTCCTTTAGACCTGATTCTCCCCACTGACTAGCCCTCCTCAAGGCCGGGTCACAGAGAAGAAATGAAGCCCAATCCTTCCTTGCTGGATTCTTGTCATGAGAATTTATCTGGTTCTGGTGTCTGCAAAGCTGGAGGTAAAATCTCACCGTGAGACTGAGGTAGCTCTCTGACCCCACACTGCCTTGGGGCAAGAGCTGGTTTGTTGAGATTAACACAGGAACTACCCTGAGGTCTCTTACAGTTTGCCCTTATTGTACCCCACAGTGACAGGCTGGCAGGCAGTGCCTTAATCTTTCCACACTTAAGACCTTAGACACAAAATACTATTTGGTTTTTGAAATGCTCCTATAGAGTTAAGGGTTCTAATTTGCAGAAACAAATAACCCCAAGGTGTGATACTCCAGGAAATTTAAGAGAGTCCTGTGGTTATTCATGGCCATACAATTGGGCAGCCTTGGTAGAAAGCCTGATAGAGGAGGTAAATCAAATAAAGAAAATCAATTTTTAAGAATAAATTAAATTTAAAATGTTTCAGCTACAGGCTCAGGTAAAGATGAGTTGTAGTACATCTTCTGGTCATCTAACTAATGGAACTCACACTTTATTCCTGTTATACCGGGTACACATTAGCAAGCTTTGATCTCTCTAAATTTAGACCTTGCAAAGAAATACTTGGCTCATTGTGACAAAGCTGATGGGTGGTAAGGGCCTCTAACAGCAACATACTCCATCTGGGAAGATTCTGTTCTGCTTAGCTCTATACAGCACCCTTTGTATTTTGAGAGTTGATGTGCTGCTATGTGGCATGACAAAACAAAACTCAGTGGTCCACATCTTTCTTCTCAGCTGCTTTGCAAAATGTAAGTGCTTGGCTGCTCCTGGCCAAATATCCCTGTCACCATAAAAATCACAAGATGCCACCTTGACACTTTAAGTTTAAAATCATATGTTAGGATGATGAGTTGGCAATTATCAAAAAATAAAGACCCAAGGGGTTGCTTGTCCTTCGGTCAAGGAGATTTAATGATACTCTGTGCCAATTTTAGTTTTTTTTGCATTACGTTCTGTAATTGGAAGAATTCCCACTTGGGCAGAGTACAATAGACCCATGCTTAATGTTGCCCTGGGGGTAATGCTAAAATGTGCACTAAGTGTGTAACGGTAGAGTGAACATGATCCCGTGGTCCTGTGCTGTGGAGAGAAGGAGAAAAATGCAGGCTGATCTGGATGCTGAAAAGAAGAATTGAAATAGCAGCCAAGAAGGATCTTTAGCTGGTGAGAAAGAGTCAGGAGGCAGAAAGCAAAGACAGAGGCACTAAGGCCTTTTGTCCAGATTTATATCCAGTGAATTCTGTGATGTCTCTGGGTTTCTGAACAGATGACTTGGACTATCCTTAGCTATGATAGCCAGGTTTGAGAGTTGCTGGAGATGGACAGTAGAAATGTTTACAGCTACGAGATATGGAAGAAATGTTGCATTATTCACCCAGTGAAAGCATTCTCCATATCTTTAACCCATAGAAAAACCACCCACGAGAGGAGGAGCTGGGCAGATCTGGGGTGCCCTCACTGGCCTCTCTGCGTGTCTGGAGGACTCTGGATTTCTGCGCCCAGACTGCTGGAGTTCCCTCAGGCTTCCAGGTGCAGTGAAGGAGAGAGGTGGGTTTGAGGCTTCCACATCAGCCTCCCCATTCCCGGCTTCATTTGGAGACCTGCTGAGCTCCCGATAGGTGGGCTGGCCCACACTACCAGCCTAGCCCAGCCTGTTTAGCTGCCGCGCCTGGCCAGAGGTCTGCAGAGGAGGAGCTGGGCAGATCTGGGGTGCCCTCACTGGCCTCTCTGCGTGTCTGGAGGACTCTGGATTTCTGCACCCAGACTGCTGGAGTTCCCCCAGGCTTCCAGGTGCAGTGAAGGAGAGAGGTGGGTTTGAGGCTTCCACATCAGCCTCCCCATTCCCGGCTTCATTTGGAGACCTGCTGAGCTCCCGATAGGTGGGCTGGCCCACACTACCAGCCTAGCCCAGCCTGTTTAGCTGCCGAGCCTGGCCATAGGTCTGCAGAGGAGGAGCTGGGCAGATCTGGGGTGCCCTCACTGGCCTCTCTGCGTGTCTGGAGGACTCTGGATATCTCTGCAACCAGGGAGGGTCCACAGGTTCCTGAAGCACTGCGGCCTGTGGTGAGTACCCTAACCCGGCTGCGATTGAAGAACTGTGGAGCTTCCAAGGGGCAGGTGGGCGCACAGTGTCCCTGAGGCCCAGCTTGTCTGGAACTGCGGAGTTCTGAGCAGGCAGAGAAGGGCCACTGGTTCTGTAGGCCTAATGGCTTGGAGTAGCGCGGCGCCAGAGTCTCAGTAGCTCCAAACATAGAAGGGGATTTTCAACAGATCCTGAGGAAGCTTTCAAATAACACTTGAAACACAGAAATATAGGAAAATGACAAAACGAAAGACCAAATTACAACCTCAAACCTCCAGCCCATCTCAAGAAACCCTAGGAGTGATGTATATAGAAGAAAATATATCCCATCCACCTCATATATTGGACACAATAGCCACTGAAATTGACAAGCAACTCCAGGAAGCTTTAAAGAAATTCAAACTCGAAATAATCTCCCAGATAAAAGAAGAAATGATAAAAGAAATGAAAGAGACTCTAAATATATCTAAAGAAAACACAGATAAAAAATTGGAAGAACTAAACAAAAAGATAGAATCCCTAGACGAGCAATATAAGAAACAAACAGAATACATAATGCAGATGCACAGAGATATACAGGAAATAAAAAACTCCACTGAAAGTTGTAAAAACCGCCTTAATGAAAGTGAAGATAGAATTTCAGACCTTGAAGACAGGATTGCAGGTAGTGAACAGGAAAGGAAAGATCTTTTGAAAATAACAAGGAACCAGGAAACAACAATTCAACAACTGCAAGACGATGCAAAGAAGAATAACATAAGAATGATAGGGATTAATGAAAGAGAGGGAGACAACATGAAGGATGTCAGGAGGATATTTAGAGAAGTAATAGCTGAAAATTTCCCAAGCATGAGATCAGAAACTGACATCAGGATCAGTGAAGCATATAGAACTCCAAACAGTCATAACCAAAATAAAACTACACCCAGACATATAATAATCACCATCCCAGAAATCCAACACAAGAATAGATTATTAAAAGCTGTCAGAGAGAAAAGACAAATCACTTATAAAGGAAAACCTATCAGAATCACAGCAGACTTCTCAGCACAAACGATAAAGTCAAGAAGAGCATGGAGTGAAGTATTCCAGATCCTAAAGCAAAATGATTTCCAACCAAGACTGATATATCCTGCAAAACTATCATTCAAAATAGATGGTGCAATACGATACTTCTATGACAAAGAACAGCTGAAGAACTTCATGAACACCAAACCAACCCTGCAAAAAATATTGAAAGACAGTTTAGATACACAAAGGAAAAAACCACAAAGCAAAGCAAATAATTAAACAGAACCGAAAGATAAAGATGCAACAGCAGAGAGATAACATTCCTACAATTAACCAGCATTTAACAGTAATAACCATTAATGTAAACGGTCTCAATGCACCAATCAAAAGAAACAGACTAGCAGAATGGATCAAGAAACAAAATCCAACCATATGCTGTTTACAGGAAACCCATCTAACCCAGAAAGATACTCACAGACTGAAAGTCAAAGGATGGAAAACAAATCTTCATGCAGCAGGAATCCAAAAAAAGGCAGGAGTAGCCATTCTGTTTGCAGACAACATGAACTTTAAACCAACAATGACCATAAAGGACAAAGAAGGTCACTACATACTCGTAAGGGGAAAACTCCAAGAGGAAGAGATAACTATCTTAAATATATACGCACCAAACTCCAGAGCACCCAGTTATATAAAACAATTATTAACAGAAATGAAAACTCAAATTATCAGTAACACAATTGTAACAGGAGACCTTAATACACCACTGACACCAAGGGACAGATCAACCAGACAGAAAATGAGCAAAGAAATAACAGAACTGAATCACACCTGTGAACAAATGGGTTTGATAGACATATACAGAATGTTCCACCCAACAACATCAGAATACACATTCTTCTCAGCAGTACATGGATCATTTTCTAAAATAGACCATATATTAGCTCACAGAACATATTTAAGCAAATGCAAAAGAGTTGAAATCATCCCTTGCATATTATCGGATCATAGCGCTCTGAAATTAGAAATTAATGACAAAGGATACTGCAAAAATTCCGCAAACACATGGAAACTAAATAACACACTCTTGAGTAATCAGTGGGTCACAGAAGAAATTAAAGAAGAAATTAAACAATACCTAAAAGAAAATGAAAATGCAGATACAACTTACCGGAATCTGTGGGATGCAATGAAAGCCGTTCTGAGAGGAAAATTTATTGCACTGAGTTCCCACATCAGGAAAACAGAACGAATACAAATAAATAACTTGATGCTACACCTCAAACAGCTAGAAAAAGAAGAGCAAGTCAAGCCCAAAGCCAAAAGAAGAGAGGAAATTATAAAAATCAGAGCAGAAATCAATGCAATAGAGACTAAGAAAACAATCCAAAGAATCAACGAATCAAAGAGTTGGTTCTTTGAAAGAATAAATAGGGGCTGGGGATTTAGCTCAGTGGCATAAGCACCTGCCTTGCAAGCAGGCAGTCGTGAGTTCGGTCCCCGGTACCGATAAAAACGAAAAAGACAAAAAAAAAAAAAAAAAAAAAAAAAGAATAAATAAAATCGATAAGCCCCTAGCCAACCTTATTAAAAAAAGGAAAGAAAAAGCTCAAATTCATGCAATAAGAAATGAAAAAGGAGAAATCACTACAGACCCAATAGAAATACAGAGGATCATCAACACCTATTTCGAAAACCTCTACTCTCAAAAGTTTGATAACACAGAAGAAATAGACAGATTCTTAGAAGCATATGAAGTACCAAAGCTAGATCAAGAGGATATAAAACTGTTGAATAACCCAATCTCTGCTAATGAAATTGAGAATGTAATTGGGTCCTTGCCCACCAAGAAGAGCCCAGGCCCAGATGGATTCACTGCAGAATTCTACAAGAAATATAAAGAAGACCTAATGCCGACACTCCTCAAACTATTCAATGAAATTGAAAGGGAAGCAATCCTTCCTAAGTCATTCCTGGAAGCAAATATTACTCTAGTACCAAAACCTGAGAAAGACCCAACTATAAAAGAGAACTATAGACCGATCTCCCTAATGAACACAGATGCAAAAATCCTCAATAAAATATTGGCAAATAGGATCCAGCAAATCATCAAGAAGATTATACACCATGACCAAGTGGGATTCATCCCAGGAATGCAAGGATGGTTCAACATACGCAAATCAATAAATGTAATCCACCATATCAATAAAGCCAAAAATAAGAATCACATGATCATCTCTATAGATGCAGAAAAAGCCTTCGATAAGGTCCAACACTTATTCATGATAAGAACTTTACAGAAAATTGGAATAAATGGTCTTTACCTCAATATAATAAAGGCCATTTATGACAAACCAACAGCCAGCATCATACTAAATGGCCAAAAATTGAAAGCCTTTACTTTAAAATCGGGTACAAGACAAGGATGTCCTTTATCACCACTCCTATTTAATATAGTACTGGAAGTACTAGCCAGAGCAATTAGGCAAGAAAGAGAAATAAAAGGGGTAAAGATAGGAAAAGAAGAAGTTAAATTATCATTGTTTGCAGATGACATGATACTCTACATAGAAGACCCCCTAAACTCCATTGAAATACTCTTAGATACAATAAATAAATTCAGTAATGTGGCTGGATACAAAATCAATACTCAGAAATCAATAGCATTCCTATACACGAACAACAAAATTACAGAGAGGGAAATAAGAGAAACTGGACTATTCACATTAGCAAGCAAAAAAATGAAATATTTAGGAATTACTCTTACGAAAGAAGTGAAAGACTTATACAGTGAAAATTATAATACACTGAAAAAGGAAATTGAAGATGATCTCAGAAAATGGAAAGACATCCCTTGCTCATGGATAGGAAGAACAAACATTGTGAAGATGGCCATTCTCCCAAAACTCTTATACAGATTCAATGCAATCCCAATAGAAATACCATCAACATACCTTATAGATCTAGAGAAATCACTCCTAAATTTCATCTGGAACCAGAAGAGACCTAGAATCGCAAAGGCAATTCTAAGCAGCAAAGACAAAGCAGGAGGCATCACAGTCCCTGACTTGAAGTTATACTACAAAGCAACAGTAGTAAAATCAACATGGTATTGGAATCAAAACAGAGCTGAAGATCAGTGGAATAGATTAGAAGATACAACCACAACTACGAACACACTCAACCACCTTATTTTTGATAAAGGAGCCAAGCAGGTTCACTGGAAGAAGGACAGTCTCTTTGATAAATGGTGCTGGAAAAACTGGCTCTCCATTTGCCGAAAACTAAAGCTAGACCCATGTCTATCACCATGTACTAAATTAAAATCTAAATGGGTCAAAGATCTGAATATTAAAACAGAAACACTAAATCTATTGGAAGACAAAATAGGTAGAAACCTTGGAGACATATGAGTAGGTAAAGAATTCATGAACAGGACTCAAACCGCACGGGAAATACTTCCCAGAATCAATAACTGGGACCACTTCTTATTAAAAAGCTTCTGCATGTCAAAAGAAATCTCCAGCATAGTGAAAAGAAAACCCACAAACTGGGAAAAGATTTTAGTGAACTCTCTCTCAGACAAGGGCCTCTTGTCTAAAACATATAAAGAATTAAAGAAACTCAGACCTCCGAAAGTCAAAGATCCAATCCAAAAATGGGCATCTGAGATGAATATGCAATTCTCAGATGAAGAAATGCAAATGGCAAATAAATACATGAAAAAATGCTCATCATCATTGGTCATTAGAGAAATGCAAATTAAAACCACACTGAGATACCATCTCACTCCTGAAAGAATGGCCAGGATCAAGAAAACCGACAACAA